TCCCAAACTGAAGCCAGAACCAACTGCTAGCCCTTGAGTTAACTCTAGTTCCAAATTGAAGCCAGGAGAGGTGGCTAGCCAGGAGCCCCAGGGCTGGCTCAGGCTGGCCCCCTAGTGGTTGGGCAGACCCAGCAGGGAGGCCAGCTGAGTTACTGTGCAGTAATGTGCATTATTGCACAGTAACTAATTGGGCATAAATTTGATACCTGCATAATGCAGGTATCAAATTTATGCCCCATTAGTTACTGTGCAGTAATGTGCATTATTGCACAGTAACTAATTGGGCATAAATTTGATACCTGCATTATGCAGGTATCAAATTTACACTGAAGTTGGTGTAAGTCTCCATATTTACTGTTCAGCATGGGTATGCACATGTAGATGTATGCTCTTATTGTGCAGTAATTTCACTTACTGAACAGTAAATGCACACATGTAGTCATGCCCAATATGTGGGAAACCCTGGCTTTCTCTGCTTACAGAAATGCAGCCTACAGGTCACACTGGAGCAAACTGGACACTCCAGTGTGGCCCCAGGGTTGGGGCTGCTAATCAGTTGATTGGCAGTCCCAGCCCTAGGATCATGCTGAAGTGTTTATGGGCATTTGGGAATCCCAGACAGGAACCCAGGCAGGCACTTCCAGGATGGCTGAAGAGCAAGGGAGCTCTGGTCTAACTGCACTGTCCCACCATAAACCTACTTAAAGCCACCATGATAAAGTAGAAAAAAATTGGTACCACCTATGTTATGGCCTCAAGTTTGGGGCATTTGTGGTACAATAAGGGGTATGTTTCTTTTTACGGTGGCACAAAGGTGATATCCATTTCCACACCAAGAGAAATATGAGTGATAGGACCCCTGTGGAAACTCTTCCTCCTATTACTTCTTGGCCTTCTCAGCCCAGATCTACTCTAGTGTTCCCCTTCCAGCCCCACTCTGCCCCTGTCCCTGACCTTTACCTTTCTCCCTCAGCTCATTTCCCACTCATAGGCATACCTACATGTACATTTGCTCCTTCCTGCTGAACTCCCTCCCAATGGACACATTTATATTTTGGAGGAGTGCCTTGTCCATCTTGGTTTAATTCACTTCAGATAATTAGAATTAAAGCCCTTGTAGGCTAGCCTAGTCCCACAGCAGTTACACACAGAGCATTGTATTCAAAATGTCCATCACAACCAAAGTCCTTTCTCGTTAGTTCTCTGGTTTTCCCTTCTCTGATGCATTTGCCCTACTAAAGCTTTGCTCCTGAAGCTTCTCTGGCCCTCCACCATGCTTTGCAGTCCCTCAGCACTGTTCTCCAAAAGGCCTTCTGCTGGGAGCTGTTCAGAGCACCCTTGCTACAGGAGCTCTAACGTCTTCAGTGAACAGACTGCAACTGCTCAACCTGCTCACAGTTATAATCCAAGTCAGGCACACTGAAGCTCAAGGAACTCTTCTGCTTATGCTTTTGCAAGTTAGACTGGGCCCTGGAGCTCTAAGTTTTCACTATTTGTGGAGCATATTCTGAGAGCACCGTATAGATCCCTGTACTTAAACATTGTATGAGACAGATTCCTATAGCACAGAATGGAAGGAGATGGTGTCCCTCAAAGGCTCCCTCCCTGGGCTCAGCATAGGCTTGTTTCCAGTAGCCTCTGTATAGTGTTACAGTTTCCCATCTAATAGGGTTTAGAATGCTTCCCTTGGGCGCTGTTCTACAGATTTCTGCACTTCACCCATATGAAGATCTTGCTGATGGTCCATCTCTCATTAAACGTTCAGCTGGTGTGAAAACAGCTCCTAGTTCACAGAAAAGATTTTTTTTTTTAATTTGCCTTCATTCTGACTTTGGCCAAAGCAAAAAAATTCAACATTTCCTGAAAACTATAATTGTCAATGAAATTCCCTTTTGCAAACATATTTTTTAATTAAACAAAATGTGTTCACTAGCTCCTTCAGCTGCATGGGATGGAAATTTGTTCCCAAACCTTGACATTTCTCATGAAAGAGAACTGTTGGTTTCCATCAGCCCTAGTGGCCAATCATATCCTTCTAGTGAAATTCAACTGTCATGGGAGGTCCTAGGTACAGAGGGAAAGCTGATCTCACAGGATCATGCCTTGAAAAATCAGGATAAATGTTTTGTACTGGGGTCTGAGTTCAGTGGGGGGGCTAGATGCCACAGTGGCTGGGCAGCAGGAGAGCAGTTGTGTTTGTCCTAAGCAGAATGTATTTGGCTTAAATTTTGCCTGATTTTAACCAGCACCACTACTGCTCTTAGGGATGGAGGCCAGTAGGGACCATATAATTATCTAAACTGCCTCTCAGTTACATTACAGGATGTTATTCTTTCTGATTGGAAAGGAACTGAATCTGAGTTGAGTGAAATAACTTCTATAGTGAGAGTTGGTGGGCAAGACTTTACACACCAACTGCTGAAGTTAAAGGGGACCAGAGAATTTGCAGCCAGAAATATTAAAGGAATTGTCCAGGGGGCTCTCCAAGCTGCAGATATGTATTTTTAACAGGTCTTGGTACCATAGGAAATCTCACAGCTAACTCTGTGCAGAATTTTAAAAGGGTAAAGTGGGCAACCCAGATAACCAGGAATAGTGAGCACTAAAAACAAAATCAATATATATTAGAGAAATCTTGTGCCCAGGGAGCAATCCCAGTCTCCCACTGGTCTTCTCTCCTTTATTAACACCTCTCATTTCACCCCACAGATGAGAAATTCAGTGGTTCTTTCTGATGTAAATGAAGGTTGTCCTGGAGGGCTGACAGCAGGATGTTGCCAGGAAGGACTACTAGCCATGTTCTCTCAAACTAACTGCTTGTGTCTTCACAGCTAGTGATGCCCAGCTGCTGTCCGATTTATCTGCGTTTGTATTGGCTTTGAGGTCATCCATTTACAAGTACTGTAATTTATGTACAAACTATAGTAAGGCACCAGCAATTCCCATCTCTCAATATTGTTGTGTAGTAAATGAAACACTGGAACAAATACAGGTTTTGAAGCACATTAATTTAATACCATATTAAAAAGTGTTAGGGCCTTGTTGCACATTAATTCTGTACAACTCCTGGAGCTCCCAACTTCTGGATGTTCTTATGTCAATACCTTAAAATGGCTTAAAGCACTCATGATGTGGCTCAAAGTTATGCCACTCCAGGGTAGGGTTATCTCTGATGCACAGAACCCAGCTTCTGTTCCATTAAGGTGTGGCCACTCCCCATAGATGTTCTGCTCAAGTTAAACTCCTCCAGTATCCCAGGATACAGTGTCCTCTCTCTCCCCACTAGGGCTGTGTGAGGCTTTGGATTGTACTTCGGCGTCTGAAGCAGTATGCCCAGCTTGAAGCGTAGGCTCAGTTAAGCTGTCCAAAGCGGTTCAGAGCTTCCGAAGCACTTCAGAAATGCTTCCGATGCTTTGGAAGCTGAAACTGAAAGTTAGAAGAGGGAGGGGGAGTGGGGGAGGAAGGGAGAGTGGGAGGGCGGGGAAAGGGATCATGGGGGGAAGACTGACATGTAGGTGACCAGTGGGAAGGATTTATCTCTGACTGCCTTTCCAATGACAGCATCTGGGGGGAGGGACCTAGAAACAACATAAAAGCCTCTGTTTTCAGGTATGCTGTGCTTTTTCCTAGCTTGTTCCCTCTCAGGAACTGCATATGAGAGGAACCCTCAGACTCAAGCATTTCAGCTTGCTTGATTTACTCAGTAGTTGAACTTGCCCGCTCCTTTTTCTTGTTAGGAAGGATTAGGTAGGATTTATCTTAGCTTAGCTGTTCAATTACTATTACTATTCAATTCATTTCTTTGAATTTATATTTGCTCTTTTTTCTTTTTTGGAAACTTTGAAAAAAGAAAGCTGTCTTTTCCCTGCCAGTGTGATCCATCACTGTGTAGGGAGGCACACAGATTGCATGCACACAGACACACAATATAAAGAAAAATCAGATATTCATAGGAGAAGAAAGACAGACAGGCAGCACACAATTTTTACATAACTATTAACACTGAAGCAAACAATCAAAGAAGAGGCCAGTGCCTGCACACAACCAAGGGAATAAAACACACACTACAAAAAGACTGACACACACACACAGACCTTTTGCAGAACAGGAAAGATCAATATGAAGCATGTTAGAAAGGCAGGTGCCAGGTGTTCTGGCAGGGGAGGGAGAGGGGGTAGGGGGAGAGTTAGAGCTGCAAGCTCCCCACCCCCAACACAGGTGCATTATCTTCCCAAGCAGCCATGACATCAGTGCTGCCAGTAGAAGCCAGGAGGTGGAAGCAGTGTCTGCACCTGATGTCCCTGCACCTGCACCACCTCCACTCAGTCCAGAAGTAGGCACCAGCAGTGGAATCACTGTCTGCTCCACCCCAATTTCATCTCAGCATGAGCCTCCCACTGCCAGAGGAGGAGCTGGAGCTGGAACCAGGGATGCTGAGAGCACTGGCTCAAG